GTCCAATGAATGTCCAAGCAAGAGGTGGTTTTGAGTATTTTGTGACTTTCACAGATGATTACTCAAAATATGGATATATTTATTTGTTGCGTCGAAAGTCTGAATGTTTTGAAAAGTTCAAAGAATTCAAGACTGAGACTGAAAAGCGACATAATAAACATATCAAGACACTACGATCTGATCGTGGTGGGAAGTATCTCTCTACGGACTTCATTGGTTATTTATCAGAACGTGGAATTACATCTCAATTATCTGCACCTGGAACTCCACAACAAAATGGTGTAGGTGAAAGAAGAAATAGGACTCTTATGGAAATGGTTAGATCAATGATGAGTTATTCTGATTTGCCTTCGTCTTTTTGGGGACATGCCTTAGAAACGGCGAATTATGTTCTGAACTTAGTTCCTTCAAAGTCAGTACCCTTGACCCCTGCAGAATTGTGGACTGGGTGCAAGCCTAGTCTGCGGCATATTCGAGTTTGGGGTTGTCTGGCACATGTGCTAAAGGGGAAAATGGATAAATTGGAGGCAAGAACGGATGTATGCATGTTTATAGGTTATCCAAAAGGGACAAAAGGTGGTTTATTCTATTGTCCTAAAGAGAAAAAGGTAATTGTTAGCACAAATGCCAAGTTTCTAGAAGAGGACTATTTGATGAACCATGTTCCTAGAAGTAAACTCGTTTTACAGGAACTTATCAAAGGAATGGAAACTCAGTCATCTGAAAATCAAAACGACCATATCCAAACCCCGGAAGTCGATTTTGACATACCATTGCACTTTAGTAGTGGGAGAAATGTCAATAGACTTAATGTCCCACAAGAACAAGTGCCCGCAGTCATACTACCACAAAGTAGTGGAAGTCATGTTGAGCAGACTACACAACAGGAAGAAGTCGTTGATATCCCAGTGGATAGCATGAAGACTCAGGTTCTTGATGATGTTGTGGTTCAACCACAAAATCAAAGTGATGTAGTTGCAACTGATGTAGTGTGTAGTCGTAGTGGGAGAGAAATAAGACAGCCAGTTCGTTATATGCTCTTGGGAGAATCATATGATAGGATCCCCGAGGAGCCTACCTCCGAACCTGTCAATTACGACCAAGCACTACATGATAAGGATGCCGATAAGTGGGTTGCTGCTATAAAATCAGAGATGGAGTCGATGTACTCTAATCAGGTCTGGGATCTTGTAGAACCAACTGATGGGGTTAAACCCATTGGATGCAAATAGATCTATAAGAAAAAGAGAGGTGTAGATGGAAAAGTACAAACTTTTAAAACAAGGCTTGTAGCGAAAGGGTTTACTCAGAAAGAAGGGATCGACTATGAGGAAACCTTCTCGCCGGTAGCCATGCTTAAGTCTATAAGGATTCTCTTATCCGTTGCTGCTCATTATGATTATGAGATTTGGCAAATGGATGTCAAGACAGCTTTCCTTAATGGAAGTCTTAATGAGTGCATCTATATGATGCAACCAAACAGTTTTATGGAAAGTGGCAAAGAACACATGTTGTGTAAGCTTAAAAGGTCCATTTATGAACTAAAACAGGCATCTAGGGCATGGAACACTTGTTTTGATAAGGCGATTAAAACTTTTGGTTTTGATCAGTGTCTTAACGAATCTTGTGTATACAAAAAGTGGGATGGGGACAAAGTGGCATTTTTGATCTTATATGTAGATGACATATTGCTCATAGGAAATAATGTGGGCATGCTGAATTCAGTTAAACAGTGGTTGTCCACACATTTTGATATGAAAGATTTGGGAGAAGCGGCTCATATCCTTGGGATCAAACTCTTGCGAGATCGCAAGAAAAGGATATTAGGCTTGTCCCAAGGTCTTTATATTGATACAATACTCTCCAGGTTTAGCATGCATGATTCCAAGAAAGGATTCCTTCCTTTCAGACATGGAATTTCTCTATCTAAAGATCAGTCTCCTAAGACTGATGAAGAGATAGAAAAGATGAAGGCGGTCCCTTATGCATCAGCTGTGGGGAGCCTCATGTATGCTATGTTATGCATTAGGCATGATATCTGCTTTGCCGTTGGCGTTGTTAACAGATTTCAGTCTAATCCTGGGAAAGAGCATTGGACGGCGGTTAAACATATAATCAAGTACCTGAAAAGGACTGGGGATTACATGTTGATCTACCATTCGGATGACCTGGTACCTATTGGGTATACTGATTCGGATTTCCAATCAGACAGAGATTCTAGAAAGTCTACCTCAGGTAATATGTTTACTCTTGGAGGTGGAGCCATAAGTTGGAGGAGTATCAAGCAAACTTTTATTGCTGATTCCACCATGGAAGCCGAATATGTGGCAGCCTCTGAGGCAACCAAAGAGGCAGTTTGGCTCGGTAACTTCCTGAGAGAGTTGGGTGTGGTTCCTTCGATTCAAGCGCCAATTACGCTTTACTGTGATAATAGTGGTGCGGTTGCAAATTCAAAGGAGCCACGAAGCCATAAGAGGGCAAAGCACATTGAGCGTAAATATCATTTAATTCGTGATATAGTGCAGAGAGGGGATGTAGTGGTCACCAATATTGCGTCAGAGAACAACTTGGCATATCCGTTTACTAAGAGCTTACCACAGAAGACTTTTGATAAGCATGTAGAAAGAATGGGTGTCAAAATTGTAGACGCATGGTTATTAGTCTAAGTGGGAGATTGTTAGAATATACTATAAGCCATGCATATTGTTGTAGTATTCTTTATGAACAATTATTTATTTACTTGTTTAAATTCAATAAAGTTTCATTTTAGATAGATCATATGTTGGTTTGTGCGTCCATTGCTTACATAGTAGATGATTTAGTGTATAGAGTTTAGCTTATACACGGAAGATTAAATCATCGGTTCTTGTAAGCATACAAGTTAATGTTCACAATCTAATGATAGAGTTGGACAAATCATCGGAATGATTGTAGCACAAGATTAAATATAATTTCTTGATTATAGGAATGGTTTAATTCTAACTTCTTGTGCTAGTACATTTTGTATGTATTGAACGGATCAAGTAGAGATGAGTATTTTATACTGACTTTATAAAATAATTTCTCTAGTCCATTTAATGTACTTATACTCTTAATCCTGATATAATTATTATTAGCTGTGTATGTCACTTGTTGTTTTGATTTATTAAAAGGCGAGATTCTTTCGCGAGTCAATAAGCCTGGTAAATTGGATAACAATGATATACATTGGCGAAGTAATAATTAGTTGATGGAATCCATGTCTCGATTTTGAGATTGATGATACTCCTTTATGAAAGCTTATAAGTTTTCATGTGTAAACCCGGCTAGTGGATTTTGTATCCGACACATGAAATATGTTAAATGTAAGTCTAAAGGAAGTAATCAATAAATTAAATAGTCAGTAATTTAATTTGATTGATTAGTATCTGAATCTTAACATGGGGGAGTTAAATAAGGTTTTATGGAAGAATTTCGAAATTGAACCAAGGAGTGCAATTACGAAATTTTAGTGGAATAATTCGTAATTTATTATGATGGAAATTAATTTCAGAATTTCGAAATTAATATCATGATAGAAAGCCTTGTTAATTAAATTTTGTGGTCCCTACTGTGCCTAAATAATAAAAAATAGTGGAAACTGTTACTTAGTGGGAAAGAAAACGTGAAAACCGTCCCTTAGTGGGAGAACGAAACCTAACAGGTTTTGAAAACAGTTTTGACCTAAAACGCAGCTATATATATGGATATAAGGGCTAAACGTTTTTGACACGATTCTGACTGCGGTTTCTACTAGAATTTTGCCCACCCAAAATTCTCTATTTTCGGTTATTGTTTGGGTAACAGTAGAAGACTGTGGAAATCTACTGGTGTGTTTTCAACTGAGGAGCTGGAGAACGACATAAATTTGTTGTGTTTACGCTTCAAGAGGTAATCCTAAAATCTCCATACGTGCTAGTTGTTTAGATTACACGTGAATAAGATTCTGTTATTGCTTCCGCTGTGGTATATATATTCCTACAGCGACTTGGTCTGAAGAAGGCTGTAACAACCAAAAGCTCTCTCTTTCTTTAAGAACATACAAACAGATAACTATCCAGTTATGCAATATAAGAGATTGTCGTTGCCACTCGTAAATATAGTCAATTTAAAGTAAGCACATATGGAATAACAGATATGAATGAAAATAAATTGAAAGAGAAATAATAATTGGCTTTCACTAAATTTTCAACGCATGGAAATCTGTATGTTGACATGGAAAGCAATTTCCAATAGCTGAAAAATTCATAAAACAAGCTGCTCGCCACATCAAAGATCTAATGGTTCATATGTTCATGAATAGTTTTTCAAAAGCAGGTGCAATTCCTTCAGTTAAGGAGTAATACCTTCACTGAAATTTTTGAACTTGTGTACTACCGAAAGGAATTGGAATCAAGCTTTCGCTGTAAACTATTACTCTCAAACTTCCAGTATAGCCATCTAATTTGAACTCCTTGACTGTATCAGAATTAAGATCGTATGAAATCAGAAATCCACTTTTGTCTTGAAGAAGCAATAGAAAATCCTTCCAAACTGCCAATGGGGATACAATAGGAGGAGATTTAATTGTATATTTCTTAATCCAAGACTCGTTTACAGTGTACTCCAGCATTATCCAAATGTCAGTTGTTTCTTGTACTGGACTACTTTCTCTCTTTGGGTCAGGGTAACAAATAAAGGTTAGAGACTCATCTAAGACTGCGAGGCTATGACATTTCTCGTCGTACGAAGCACAAGTTTCAGGCACTTGCATTGTGCGAAAAACTTCAGTACTGATATCAAAACAAAGAATTACCACCATATTTCTGTGGGCATACCAATGAAAGGCTCCCTTGAAAAACATCTCAGAGAAAGGGAACGTATAAGGCCAGGGCAACTCGGGATCCACATTAGCTAGTTCTCTCCAAGAATCAGTGCTCGAATCATAAACCTCACCTTTCCACTCCACCACACTGGGATCATTGAACGGAGGATCCCCGTAAATTTCTGAAATTCTAACTACTTTATATTTATTTTTAACAGAGTCATAGCCAAATCCAACACCACCAATAGAACGATAGAAACCCCGAGGGCAAACAAAAGGGCTAGATGGGAGAAGCCTATAATTTCTAGTAGCTGGATTTAATAAGACAAAGTTTATGGAGTCTGTCAAAAAAATCAAACCAGTGCAAGGACCAGTGAGTTGATGAAAAATACTACCGTAACTAGTAGACAGATATGGCACATCAAGATCAGGAGAAATAGAATCAAGATCATCTTCACCATCAGCACTGAGAAGAAAAGACAAAATATTTTTAAATCCTTGGGGTTCTTTGTGGGTTCGCTTGAAGAGAATGAATTCATCTTTGGTGGTAGTGGTTCGGTTGAGATGAAGATTGATGAAATTAGACGATTTTATGAGAGTGTACCAACTTTTGGTAACACATTTGAATCGCGATAGAGATTTCACTGGAAGCCTAAAAAATATATAAATCGCCACATCTTCCGGCAATATTTTCATGGTTTTATCTGTCATCTTGGATTCTTCAAAAAAACAATTCACCTTGCACTTCAGGGATAGTTTCAGTGTGAAATAAAAACGTTTTCACCTGGTTCCATCGTTGTTCATTATCTCATTTGAATTTGATATCAGCACCCTAACAAACTGCCCATCAAACTTGCATCTTTTGTGGTTCTGAATAGAGCAGTATTTTTCTGTTCACATAAAATTGTAATAACTGTCAAAGGCCCGTCAGTTTACTCGGGTGACTATAGAACAAGTTATAGGTGAAAATGATTCATGATTGTATAAGGTTAAAATCGGGCTTGCCCTTATTGTATGATTAATCAAGACGGGGGTGGTGACAGGCCAAGGTTCGACCCCATGTCATACCGGACCGTGACACGAAGTTAGATTGCCAAACTCGTAACTCATGGACCGATCGAGATCAGCCAAGATCGAAACCGAGCTAGATAATGATCGAGCAAGATCGAGGGAAACCTGCCGAGCAAAATAACGGAAAGCTAAAATATCCACGATCGGCCGAGGATCACGGCGGAAATCTCGGCACGTATCAGGAAGAGGCCGATTAATCAACTAATCATGGGATTTCATACTATATTTAGGATTGTATTAAGGGTAGGATTCCCCTGTTATATAAAGGGAGTCTGGTAATTTGTAAAGCACATCATATTCACGTAATACAAAACATATACTTCATCCGTTTCATATTAGATGAGATACTTTCCTTTTTAGTCTGTTCCAAAACAAATGACACATTTCTAAATTTGAAAATAATTCAAACTTAATTTAAACTCTTCATTTTACCCATTTACCCTTAATGAGAAACTTTTATAGCCACACAAATGACATGGCCCCATAAACGTTTTACCCCTTAAGCTTTTAAGACCACAAGTTTCAAAAGTCTTCTTCTTTCTTCTTAAGCTCCGTGCCGAGTCAAACTACCTCATCTAATATGAAATGGAGGGAGTATTATATTTCTTTTAAGCTTTCAATACTCTGTTACTCTGTTCATATTTCCTAGTAGAATAGTTGTTTGGTTCGAGGGCGACCTAGTTGAGGGAAAAATCTATACGTTTATTCCGGTTTGCTTTTATTTCTATTTGCAGTTAATTTCAATATCAATTGACATATTTTCTCAGTTTTTGCCAAGTAAATTCACGTATTCTTAAAACCACATATAAATTCGGTTGTTACCTATTTTTAGGGTAAATAGTTTTGCGCCCACCGTGGGGCTAAGGATAATGGTAATTGCCTGGCACTAACTTTCGTAAGACACAATATTTTACACTTATTCTTTGAAGTATCTTCGATTAGAAGATTAAAAAAATGTCAAACTCGCAGTCAACACCTAAACACATTGACAATGATCTCAGTTACCACAATGAAAATGAGAACATTGCACCAGGAAACATTGTACCCCCACTGGCCTCGATTGAATTCCGGTTGTAGATCCAATTGATGTGAGTTTGCATCTAGACATAAATGGAAATTTGGCCGTCGATCCCGAAAGCAGTGTTTGCAGGGGTACCCGATCAACTACTCAGAACACACATGGCGGTGAAGATGGCAGGATCAACTTGCGGGTGATCATCAAAATATTGCAGGCCCAACAAGAAGCAATAGCCCAGCTCCAAAATCACAACCAGACACTGAGCAGGGTCGAATTCGAGCAATCCTAGGAAGTCATACATAGGGTTGAATCGGCTTCGAGGAAATCAAATGAGAAGGAATCGGAGACCAGTCCTGCTATCATAAAGATGCTCGAAGAATTGACAAAGAAAAATAGATATTGAGGAAAAGAAGATCGATGAAAATGATAAGAAGGTGGAACCTATAACTCTAGGGTCGACCAAATCCACCGGCATCACCGATATTAAAGGGACTAGATTCCAAAAAGTTTATACAAAAACCTTTCCCCCAAAATGTGGCTCCAAAGCAAATCCCCAAGAAGTTCTGTACGCCCGAGATTCCTAAATATAACGGGACGACTGATCCAAATGAACACATCATCTCATACACGTGTTCTATCAAAGGAAATGACTTGGAAGATGACGAGACTGATTCCATCTTGCTGAAGAAATTCGGGGAGACTCTATCGAAGGGTGCTATGATATGGTATCATAATTTACCAGCTAATTCTATTGACTCGTTTGCTTTGCTTGCAGATTCTTTTTTAAAGGAATACGTCGGGGCTATCAAGGTCGCAACCAGGAAGTCGTACGTTTTTAATGTAAGGAAGAAGGACAGCGAGATGCTCAGGGAATTCGTATCTCGATTCCAAATGGAACGGATGGATTTGCCACGGTAACTGACAGTTAGACTGTTCAAGCTTTTACTCAAGGTCTCAACATTCGATGTTTAGTGGCTTCACAACAGTTAAAGCAGAATTTGATTGGATACCTAGCTATTACTTGGGCTGATGTACACAACCGGTACCAGTCGAATATCAGGGTCAAGGATAATCAACTGGAGCTCCTTCTAGGTCTGTTTATCCTACCAAGCCCATAAATAAAACCAAAAGAGATATCAACCAAGAACCAAGGTCGTATAGAGTTCGGGATTAACCGTATAAAGGAGACTGTAGAGGCAGCAGATCTAGGCAAAATTTGCACAGATTGAGATGAGAAATGATCGAGGCCAACTTTAATATGGACGCAGATGCCATCATATTGGCCACTGGATGCATCAAAGATACCAAGTGGCCTCGACCTTTGCAAATTGATCCAGCACGAAGGGATTCTAACTAAATATGCAAATATCATGGCATACATGGACACATGACGGAGGATTGTTGGTAATTAAGGGAGGAAGTAGCCCGTTCGTTCAACGACGACCATCTTCGAGAATTTATAAGTTACCGAGCTAAGAACCACTTCAGAAATAGAGATTCCAACAAACAAAACGAACAAGAAGAACCACAGCATGTCATACATATGATCATCAGAGTTGTCGATATTCCCGAAGGTCCATTGATGAAATGTACCAAGGTGTCAATCACAAGAGAAAAATGGACCCGAGACTACTTACTAGAGGGGACTCTATCTTTCAACTATGAGTATGCAGAAGGAATCATTCTACCTCATAATGACGCACAGGTAATCTTTGTACTTATGAATAAAACTAGAGTTAAACGTGTGCTAATTGTTCCAGGTGGCTCGGCAAATATCATACGATCAAGGGTCGTAGAACAACTCATCCTGGAAGACCAGATTGTACCAACAGATCGAGTATTGAATAGATTCAACATGGTTTGTTGTTACACCCATGTTTTCGTACGTGGAGGTACACCACAAGTAAATTTATGTAAGATCAGAAATGAAATGTTACGTCTCGCATTTTCGTACGCTGAAGTTTCATCGTAGTTAATCGACGTGAATTCGAGAATGAGATTTATTTTGGGATTATAAATATCACGCCATTTCAAACAAGGGATAAGTAAATTCGTGAAGGCGAGAGGGTAAGCAAAAAAAATGAGTTTCATCGATGTTTGGCATTTTGGAATAAAATACGACCCGAGCTAAAATACCTGGTATTTATGGACTAGTACCATGCAAGGTACCATATGATCATGGTCGTATGATGTATAAAGTATATTAAAAATAAGTAGAATTTTTAGTAATTTGAGATAATTTTTTATTACGCGGGTAGTTGGTTAATTACCCGGTAATGGGACATTATCTAATTAACTAATAAGGGGATAACGATTAATAATTTCAATGTGGCAGCAAGAAAGCTTACCAGGCATATGGCTAATTAAGTCATATAAGGTTAGGGGCCACCTAGCATCTACGTGTAAAACAATAAATCACTATAGGTGTATGTAAAAGTATAGTTTCTTTTAAAAATTTCATCTCTTTTAAAAGTTTAACTCAACCTTGGGCAGAGATCAAAACTGAAATGAAAAGACTTGCCTCCTCATTCTTGATATTCAACAGCGAGAACGCTAAGCTGATCTGAAAAGAAAAGGCTTCCAACAAAATTTTGCAAACAATTCCAACGAGAATTGTTAGATCCGTAGCAACGTCAAAAATTTGTGGTTCAAAAGGAGTATGGTACAATCGATTCCAAGAATATTATATGGATTTTTTCCTACTCCAGGTATGTTAAGGCTATCCCTTCTTTCTTTTTTGCATGATCTATACGACACGAATGAAACGAGCGAGACGCACCAGTCTCAACCATTTAGTAGGAAACATATTACATCTTGTAAGAGTAGTGGTGTAGTTGGTGCTTCTGTAACACGTTGTTCGTGTATTGGAGATACTAAAGGAGCTATTCTAAAGCTGGCTCATAGAATTACTGAAATTTAAGTCACATTAGAAGTAGTATCCAAGTTTATAGAGAACAACTCCATATTTTACTATGAAAGTTTGGAGACAATCTTGCATGAAATTTATCTTTCTACAAAAAAAAAAATCTTACATGTAATTTGGCTAATGACTAATTGATCGGTGCCTGAAGGATTGCTTAATACCTTAAGATTCTAGAAGGAATTTTGTCTATTATTGCATATCAAATATAGTCATTCAAGTGTAAAATCAAAGTTAAATGGCTTTTCACCATATTAACATTTCTCAGCATGGGTATATTCTCTATTTCTGTGTAACTGATTGACCTTGAAATTCCTCCACCTTGATCTTGATTAGCCTTATTTGGTGTCAGTACTGTAATTAGCCTTAATCTTTTATACATGAAGTTTGAAAGTTCAATTTGCTTATTATCAAGACTAGTGGATCAAATTTCATAAATGACTCTATTCGTAGAAGTATTAGAGATGTCTATGTTCTTGAATTCCCATATATGTTATTATTCTATCGTCTGTTCATGGGTCTCAGAAAATATGTAAGTTGATAAAGTATTTTCCATGAAATTAATCAGAGGTATAATGGTCTTATGACATTCTAAGAGATTTTATTAACGTACTTCTCATGCATTGCATTCATTTACATGTGCATTCACCCATGACTCAGAAGATGTTATATACGCGTATATATGTATATGGGATATGAGAAAATATTACGGAGTTATATACGCACCACCACCTGATCAGCTAGTATACGATGATGTTGTTGCCCACAGTGGTTAAAATATGACTCAGACGATGTTATATAAGTATAAAGTATATATATATATATATATATATATACA